TTAAGAAGGAAATTTAAAAATTGTATTTCTTTTTTATTGCTTAGATGGGTGGACGATCTTACAACCCACCTAGTGTTAAGTGATTACTGGAGCCCATAGACATCTACAACGTAAATGCGCCACCCACCTTGAGATATTCGTTTTAAGGTCTCAAGTATAGTTACAACGGCTGCCCCACCCTTCAAACCGAAACGCATTACTGCTTCACGGTAGAAATACGCAGGGTGGTGGTACCTACCCGTGCAGACTCAAGAGGTCCTACCACCAGTAAATACCAGTATTCTACATGGCAATGCTGAAAATAATCATTATATGAAAAACAAAATAGAGCCTTCCTAAATTTACTCATATAACGAAACTTCGCTTGTTGTAATTTTGTTTTAGCAATTTAATTCCGTTTCAAATCGAATTGAATCATCCGCTTTTTAGCAGAAAAGCTGATTAATAAATTATAAATAAAACAAAACTATGAATCATCAAATTCGGTTAACAGAAAACAAGGAGCTGGAGAGTATAATTCAAGTAGTAATATACGAGAATTGAATACTGTTCAAGTAGTCTTCACTCTAGAATATTTTTTTGTTTGTTATGCAGCAATGAATCGATATGATTTTCAAAGAGAAATTTGTTGAAACTAGCTTTTTTGACAATTTTTATATTTTTTATTGTTGTTTATTGAGTTTACAGCAGAATTCATACTGGTCATTGACATTTTACTTTTGACATTTCCCTATCTTGACTCTACAAAGTTTAATGAGATTTACAACTCCCAGTAAGGCAGAGTCGATAGAGTGCGTTGCTCTAGTGACTTTTAGGTCATTCGCTGGCGCTAGTTCGGGATAATGTTCGGGTTATTATTATGCAATAGGTAATCAATCTCAATATAGAGTTGAATAGTTTCAGAAATTACGTGTAATAATAATCTCTATGTTTATAGATTCTAAGATAACTAATTAGATTTCAGTGCCGTTTTCACCATCAATTAGAAAACGGTTTCTGTGTTTAATAAATATACATTTAGTAAGCGGTTACAGTTATAAAAAAATCGATAATTCATAATTGTAATCAAACTCTTACTTAATCATATAAAGTAATGTACAAGTAATTTAAAAATTCTAAGATTCTTTAAGCAATTTGAAATTGTTCTATATTACTTAACCCGTATAATACTTGATACATTCGCGTTCAGAACGCTGCGAGGATAATAATAAAACTACTGCCTTACGGACCGAATGCCGCAGGAGGTAAGCCGCAGGTAGAGCCCGCCTTAACACCTTCAAGTATCGTTTGAAAAGTCAATAACAACTACAATACCGTACCCAGTATGTAGTGTTTAAAACATTCCTTGTGAATGGCAACCATTGTCGTGTGGTTATTTGATGAGTCCATTGTAAACAAAAGATAAGGCAGATTTGATTACTAAGAAAAATACTCAACAACTACTTTGCACGTCGCTTCAAAAACTATAATACTATAGGTTATCCGATCACGTATACCCAGATATCACAGATAAACAGTACCTATGGAATTGATAAAAAACTGATAAATCGTTATCACGAATAAAGCACTTTCATAATTTTCGTAGAACTGTAATGAGCGGTTTGGTTTTAATATGCGTAAGACGGCCTTCACATATGACATCATAGCATCTCATTATTTAAGACTTGATTCATTAACAACTTAATGTTACACTTACCAACTAGTTTGACTTCCGTCTTGGTTGAAAGTTATGTGTTCAGCTACTGAAAATCCGAAGTATGAGCCGGCCTCTCCGTACTTTATCACGGGGATCCTCGGTTCCAAGTTGAAACAGGAGACACTGTACAATATACACAAAAATAAAACACTACTGGACGCATATCTCGCTGCCATCGTGTAGGTTGTTCGTTGTTTTCGTATAACTAAATAACACATTCACTGTTATGTTACTATTGAGAACATCGCGTGCTTCGAAATTATCGCCGCGAAGACACAGACCCCCAGCGCGGTTGCCGTACGCCGGCCGAGTATTCAGTAAAATTTAGTTCCCGCCGCACTTTGCTATCTGCTCGTATGGACAGAACTTGTATTACATGCGCGCCGCACTCCTATAGAGGCAACTGAACTCATAAAAATGACATAGACGGATCAAAAAGTTGAATTTAGTGACATCTGTCGGAAGATTGATCAACTAGTTTTAGGTAGAGTTAAAAAGTAGAGCATGGCATAAATGTAGAGTTGGACAATTTAATGTCAAATGCGTAGTGAATTCTCAGAAAGAAAACTTAAGCGATAAATAATTATCTCGTTGCAGTTAATCTTTTAGTTAGAAGATAAATACAGTAATTGAAGAACATAATAGAAACTTGAAACAAAAATACAAAACAGCGCCATCTAACGTAAAAAGTAAAACGTTCGTAATTTCTTTCGTATCTGTGTATAACTGAAGATGGCAGCACTGTTAACGTCCAAATATTCAATTCTAAGCTCACATCCCAAATAATTCGTTTTTTCTCTACTTAATCGGGAAGGGGCTATTCAAGCTACTCATCAATCGGTAAGTAAGTACACGTGCTCAATCTGAGAGAATTGATACAGCTGACCAGAGGAAGAGCAAGCGAGCAAACTTCGCTTAATCTACCATCGGATCGGAATTACGACTCACTGAGAAGATCCGGCGAGAAACTCAGTGGGTGAAATAATAACCTACATATTTATTCCAAGCACTTGCAACCGTTCTATGCTTTTTTTACTTAACTTTTATTTACTAGGGTTCCGTATTACGAAAAAAAAAAAAAAAGATCCCTGCAGTTCATCCACTCCAAATATCACAGCTATTTCGGTCACTATTGGCACTCTCTACATGATAAAAGTATAGTTGGTATATACTACAAATGTCTATAATGGTGTAATTAATAGGAAACGATATTTTTTTTACAATGCGGCGCGGCGTCCTTCAGTATGTCCGAAGAATCCAAAGGTCCGAATTGTGACCGAAATGTTATTTGCGGAACTTGTATATGAGCAAGTTTGTCTTGTAAATATCGTACTAGATAATGACCGAGCTTTACTCGGCCATATTTTTTTTCGATAAATTTTGTTTTTTAGAAGTTATATTTAAATACGAATTGAACGTTGAAATATGAATAATATTTTTCGATCTTACTGACAGAATAATAAAAAAATATGTACTGGTTATTTAAAAAAAAAATCAAAATTATCGATAAAGTTGATTATTGAAAACACGAATAAAACAATCTGAAAATAATAACACGAATAAAACAATTCTGAAAATAAATCGTAGCTAGATCGATTTATCGCCCCCGAAATCCCCTGAATGTATACTAAATTTTATGAAAATTGTTAGAGCCGTTTCCGAGATTCAGATTATATATATATTTATATACAAGAATTGCTCGTTTAAAGATATAAGATTAGAGCGTTCAAGTTCAAGGATTTCTTCTATGAAATCTATCGCTACATAGGTATCTATAACATAGTAAGTGATAGTAGCACTCGAAGCACATCGCTAAAATGAAAATAAAGACTATCTACATACATATTATGAAGACTTCTCAGACATAAAAAATTTAAACCAATAGGTACCTAACTCGGACCATTAATAAAAGACATACAGATATTTTTTTTCCTTAGATGAGTGGACGAGCTCACAGCCCACCTGGTGTTAAGTGGTTACTGGAGCCCATAGACATTTACAACGTAAATGCGCCACCCACCTTGAGATAAGTTCTAAGGTCTCAGTATAGTTACAACGGCTGCTCCACCCTTCAAACCGAAACGCATTACTGCTTCACGGCAGAAATAGGCAGGGTGGTGGTACCTACCTGTGCGGGCTCACAAGAGGTCCTACCACCAGTAATTACGCAAATTTTAATTTTGCGGGTTTGATTTTTATCACACGATGTAATTCCTTCACCGTGGAAGTCAAACGTGAACGTTTGTTAAGCACGTATTTCATTAAAAAAAATTGTATCCGCATGCGGGATTCGAACACCGTTTGCTCGATATGAATGCACCGAACGTCCTATCCTTTAGGCCGCGATGACTTCAATGGACTTAAATGGATCTAGATTTGAAAGGAATTCCTGGGCATATAGACGGACTGGTTCACTTCCACTTAAGTTGCGTATATTTTCGGGATTAGTGCTGTATGCGAAAAAGTTTAAGATGGTCATCTAATTTTCCTTTCACTTTCACCCCATCCGTGAACCAAATCAAAATTCACCCTATACTTGTCCAACCTTAATGCATAAATGTAATTTATAAGACATTTTGTGGCTCTTGACTATAGCATGTTCTCTCCTCTACAGTGTGCCTCGCGTAACGACATCTAACATGGATTGAACAGTATGCTTTGTGTGAATTTGTTTGCAATTGGAACAGCGCCCCTAGCGGCAAACGAAGGCAAACGTTCAAACAAATTTGAGTTCACTTTTACGCTATCGAGAACGTTAAAAAACTCGCACTAAGCACACAGAATCATAAGAATTCGGTAGCAGCTTAGCTGTACCATTGATATTGCTGATGTGCGACACTCGCTTGACCCGTAGGTATGCCAAAACACAATATTATTTTAACTATCTCAAGACCCGGCAAAGGCCTCTGAGGATACAATTAATCAGTCTTCCTTGCCAAGCGTCGTGGAGACGAGAGCGCTCTTCATTCTCCGCATTAAGTAAGACGGATCACCTTACTCCCAGCCTGCTTCGGGTGGCGTTCTGGCTCATCAGAACTGTCAAGCTAATTTGCTTTCAACTACTGAATTGATTTAGCAATGGCGATGTCTGGGTCGTAAGGTCACGTCAGCCACAGAAAGAAAAAAATATCTCGATTACACAATTATTTTTAATATATCTTCTCTGTGCTTTTAGCCTTGACAATTTTCTAAATAAACGAAATTGAGCACTTAATTTAAACTACAATTTAAAATTGTGGAAATTCGGCCTAGCGCCGAAATTAGTAGCAACAATAAATAAAGAGAAAATAAAATAAAAGAAAAATATGTTTGAGAAGTAATTTATTAAAAAAAGAATAAAATACATTAAGTATTCGAGAATGCAGAGGAACTATTCAGGAACAGCGAGGGTTTAAAATAAAACAAAACGAATTTTAGTCTTTTTTACTACTCTCTCCAAATAGATTCAAAACTATACTGTCTTTTAGATTATAATCAAATTAATTAAAAAATAAAATCAAATTATATAAGAAAAAAATTTAAACAGTAGTCATTTAATCTTGATGGTACAAACAGAGCTCAGATGCCAAAAGCTCGTCATCTCACGTTTACGGTTACGTTTATGAAGAGTTGTGCAACCGATCAGCCCACAGCATCGGTCTGATTGATAATGACCGTGGCTCGGTTGCAAACTCATGACCGATCGATTGGCATTTGACGGAGCCTTTGTCGCGCCGGGTGGGTGTTTAAGTGACACAGTAACTATTGCGAAGCGAGCGCTATCACAGGTACTGCTTCACCATTCGAGTACTGAAGGCGATTTAAGGTTCTGGGTGGAAAGTGAGCTCAGTCTGAGAGTGGGCGAACAACAAGTTCAATTGCGAGTCCAATCCCACGTTGAAAACTTTCATTAGCCTGGCAGCGGCCTGACCTGGGTCCTTGCGCACAAGTGCTACGCCAGATACTTTCATCAGATGAACTTCGGAGTCCACAGATCCGCCGCCAGTTGTAGCCAATTTCACGTGGCAAGTAACGTCCACGTGAATGTATTTTTCTACCGCCTTCCCACGGGTCCCTGGAACGTCTACATATTCTGTCTTTTCCTCGACTTGAGGTAGGTCAGCTCGGAAAACACTGGCTTCACCCAAAAGACCCTGAAACGAACAGAACAAAATTTTATTGGTTTATTTGAAATTGCAACACTGTTTGTTACCTCTCAAGGTAAGTCGACAAACTATTATTGGCAGATGGCCAGAGAAATAAATCGTACGCATATGATCTATGCTTCTGCCAAAAGCTACTGTGCTGTTTGCCATAGACATAAATAAATTGCGGAGTAAACAATCCAAACAAAAATCATACGAGTTAGAATTATTCTTGCATTTAAATTGGACAGGGGCCAAAAAGCGGCGTCAGTCTGTAAATAAATATGAATAAGTAATCAGGTATTCCACCCACCCCATTTCCTGTAATACTGAATTTCATTCCTGGATGAATGGCGCGTGGTTCCATGCCTACACCTTCAGGGTGCGAATCGGACCAGAAATAGTTTTCAGGCGTGTTAAGCGAGTCAGGCTTAAAAGTGATGCGCTTGCCGTATCCCATCCCAATGGACTGCAACAGTAGGCTACGTCCTTCGAAAAGATGTCTTCGGCTACCTGCTGGCCTTACGCGATAGTGGAAGCCAGGAATGATACGAGGATCGACATATGTTCCTGTAAAGAAGAATAAAATAATGAATTGACTATGCGATGGTATAGCACCAACCTGTCTCTTCCTACGGCTGTTATAAGAGATTTACTGGAGAACGAACATCAGCTTTATATTGTTGTTAGCGCATAATATCAATAGCTGTAATTTCAAACCATTCACTGATGACGGTTTGAAGGATGGAACAGCCGTCAAAGAATACAAAAGAAACTTCAATTTAATGTATCAGGGTGTTTAGTGGTATACACGTTGTGTGGCGAGGTTTGATAACCACATAACACCAAAAGGAAATAAGGTGATTTATGGAAAGAAATGAAAAGAAAAAACGCGAAATTACGTACCGATAACTGGAAGTTCGTATTTTTCGAGCCCTACGACGCAATACTGACAAGGAATGTCTTTAATATCAGCGCCATTTACGGTTACTCGTCTTGAAGACGACTGGATGCCGGGCTTTAGTTCGTAACCCTTTCGGAGTTGTTTGATCCCAATAGCTACATTCACAACACGGACGACAGCTGCATCACCACGACCCTTCTTCAGAATCGCAACACCAGTGACGGGCATCAATTTAATAGCTCCATCGTTTTCATACCACTCGACTTTACATAGAGTATTAATTTTAACTTTCTTTTCAATCGAACCGTCTTCGTAGATCTTCTGGTCAAACTCGACTTGATTTTTCTAAGGAAAATGAAAAACGTTAGAACACAAAAACGACGAGTCAATTAATAAAATAATGTTTTAAAATAAATGGTAAATGATAAATGATGATAAATGGTAAATGGTAAAAGGTAAATGATTTACCTGTTGCTCCACTACTTCCAAAATGCCTTGCGGCTCATGATTGGCATCGTAAATCGTGAATTTATCACCAACCGAAACCGCCTCTATCTCAAATACGAATCCTTCTGGTCTTGAGTCGGTCCAGAAGTAATTGGTGTTTTCATTGAGCGTCGAGTTGTGGGGTTCAAATGTAAGTCTGCGAGCAAATCCACGTCCTATCGACTGCAGAGTCAAGGCTTTACCTCCGAACAAGTATCTTGGCTTCACTGACAGTGGGGGCGCATCCAAAGCCTGAAATATTGGTTCTAATAAAATGAACAGCTCCTACTGAACTCTAATTTTCTTGATATATTATTTAACTATTAAAATGAAGAACATAATATTTTGGAAGATGGCCGTTTCAATGTCAATTTTTCTAACAATTAAGATAATATTTTGAAATTTTAATAACAACCATATCTATTTTATATGACATTTTCGTTTAAATATTATACAATTGGTATTTAATTTTGAATAGAATAACGTATCACTATGATTATTTTTTTGAGATTTAATTCTGAATATCCCTTTTTAATAGGTTTTGAGCGTGCGCTGTTGATAAGAAATTAGTATGTGAACAGGTTGTGACTGAATCGAAAGATCGTATTTCCCTGATTTCATGCTTAACAAGCACAATGATAGTAAAAATAATCATAGCCCCAATGAGTTTCAAGAAAAATCAAACATGATAAATGGCATAAATGGCCTTATGAATGATACTATGGTTTACCTATTATGGACACAATATGCTGGCATCCACTGTGTCACTTTCGACCTGTCGGGTCACCGCGTGGTTTCTTGATTTTGTATGAACGCCGCTCTGGGCGAAGTTCTGAAAAACTGGACGATCCACATACCATCGCCTACAACGGCTAGCACAGAACCAGGCGACTAAACAGCAAGTCAACAGTGTTGAACGTTGATGATATTTTCATTCTGGAAATGTCAGCAACGGACACCGCTACCTACTGAGCTAACACCGGACTAACTAATATAACCGAATCGTTCTGGACCACTGAAATCGACCAGCTGACGATGAAATACCGAATTTAAATTGAAACTGCGGTAAACTATCTCATAGTTTTAAGATTAAACAGTAGCTTTTAACAGCATCGCGTGAGGATGTCATTACATTGTATGTTTTGTTAAATCTCTCTTTAAATATTTTACTATGTTTAAAATCCAATGATTTTGAACAATTAGATGTTAAATACGATATTATAGAATAACAATTCTGAAAATTGGTTGTATAACATCAAGGTAGGAAAACAATATTGCTGGACATAAATTAAAAATACCTATAATATACCTAACAAAATTATGACAGCCTCATCAAAACAACGCGTGCATTACCAATTTATTTCGAAAATAACTACATCCGTTTCATTAAAAATAATTTTTAAAATTCATTAATATCGGTTGTGATTACAAAATGGAACGTCACGATAATTCTTTTTTTTTTTTATCACAACAAAAACTTGTAAATGACTATGATTGACAATAAAATGTGTAGTTCATGTAATTACCAGAATTATTCGTTACGTCCATCAACATTTTTGTAAGACAAGAAATCACTCACCATCCTCTTGATTCTGAAAAGGATTTTAACCTTGCAAAAACGTTCTGAACTAACCACAACCGATCTTTTTTCCGGTCCGTTTTAAATTATTCACTGACATATAATTAAAAAAAAACACTCTGTTACGCATGGTAATGCGAGGTGATTTTGATGACCACGATTTTGTTAAAAGCTATCATCTTAAAATCCCAATACAACCAATATAGTAAGTACATCGTCCATTTAAGCGCGGTCGTTTCTTTTGCAGTCCAGTTTTTAATCAATTTTGCCAGTTTTTTTAAAATGCGTATTGGATCTTCGAGGTTTTCCCGTTTTTACCGTGAAGCCTTAGAAATGATGCGCAAGCATTTTACATCATACACTTATCGGTGATTAAGCTCACATTACACTTAATTGATGAGGAATTGTCAGGAACCATAATTAAAAAATATATACCTATATATTAAAATATGTAAAAAAATCAATTGAAATGTGGAAGATTGCGTGTACAGTACAGTGCAATCATCAACACTTCTTCGAACATTTTAAACAAAACCAGACATTTCCTCATAAGTGAAAAGTTATGATACATAATTGCGACCGTTGAAAGAATAAAATTCAATTACTCGTCTCACCTGCATTGGTCTAACTTTGTATCTGAAGCCGGTTCGGACACGGGGGTCGATGTACACCCCAATAACCGGCATCTGATGGAGCGCTGGCTGAGGCACTTTGTAAACAGCGGGCACATCTCCCAGAGCACCTGCGTCCAGTAATACTTCTTTTTTCCGATCACTAACGGTCCAGAAATTTTTGCTAACCTCAATTGGCTCCTACAAACAAATTTACGCGGATTTTATAAGTAGGTTCATCCGTTTCAGGGAGCTCATTAATTACACGCACCGAATCATCCTCGAAAATTCCTAAGATATTTTCGAGTTTTTGCTGATCAGTTTCATCGTAAGTCGGTTTCACTTCCAACATTTTTCTTTTATGGTCAATTTGAATGAGTAAAACGAGACTGCATCAAAAGCAGGAACGCGAAAGAATAATGGAAGTATCAATCGAAATCTTTGTTTGATGTAAAATTGGCAGATGTTCATTGATCCATGTGATGTTGTATGTTTTGCCAAAAAAAAAAACTGTGATGCAGTTTTACGCTAGTTTAATAACAACATTCTTATTATTATTATTAGATATATTAACTTCGTATATGTACGATAAACGAAGTATCAATCAATGTAAATCTTAAGTTTTGCGAGAATTATATTCTGTTACTTTATACAGTTTGATAAAAAATAACGAAATTTCTTTTCATTATTGAAGACATGGTGCTCGAGAATATAAAATATTTTTGTCGATCAACAAAACCGGCTGCGCAAATCGCTGTCAGAGCGCGTTAATTTGTTAGTTGCGCGTCTGTGGAGTACAAAGTCCGTCAACAAGATTTACAACAAGCTATTTATAAAAAAAATATCTTCGATCTATTTTCGTCGTTCGCGGCTCACAAAGTCGCGTGAACAGAATTCGGGATCTGTTCCCGATTTTAAAGGCAAGTTAAATCCTCGCGAGAGGCTAGCTAGAGTTCTACTGAAAACGTTTATGTCGCGGCAATACAATAACACGAATCCATAAAACGTACCACGTTATTGACCTCAAATCTATCAATTACTGAAGCGTATGAAATGCGTAATCATTTGAAGACAACAAAATGTAATAGTATACACGTACATACATTTCGTACTTCAAAGACTTATCAGTTATCATATCGGTTATGACGACGTATTATTTGTTGTCTAGACTCTGGGGGACAGTCTTATGACGTGTATCGTCGTTATCATAATTAGCAATGTCGAGGGTGTGACACATTTATTTTCAGTATAAACAGGCTTAGAAATTCATTTCAAACAAACACGTTTTAAAGGTTTGCCAAAGGTACTAATTTAAAGACTGACGTATATTTATTGGCCTGCATTTCTGCTATGTTTACCCACTAATTGAGTATTACGTAATTTATTTATTTATTTTTTACTGCTTACATGTGTGGACGAGCTTACAGCCCACCTGGTGTTAAGTAGTTACTGGAGCCCATAGACATCTATAACGTAAATGCGCCACCCACCTCGAGATATAAGTTCTAAGGTCTCAGTATAGTTACAACGGCTGCCCCACCCTTCAAACCGAAACGCATGACTGCTTTACGGCAGAAATAGGCATTAAACCATTCGCTTACACCGGGCTTTCAAAAGTCATATATTATTATTAGTATACTTACAGGGACCTCCAGTTCAGGGAAGGCCTCTTCTCCGTCGCTTTCATAGTCACTCGTTGCTGACACAAGCGCTTTAGGAGCAACTTCGAATTCCTGTGTGCAAAGAATTAAAATAATATATTTATGAATTCAAAAACAAAAACACTTTATCGCATCGTTAAATGATTTAATCAAGCATTTCCTAACACTCTACTCGTATCTGCTTAAGAAGCTCAGATATTAAAGATAAAAAAAGGATCTCATCGACATGAACTGAAAATGCAATCTCAATATTACCTTGACTCAGTTCAGAAGAAAATTTATTGCAATGATAAGAGATGTGTGTCACAGTAAGTAATCCTTGACACGCTGTAACATTCACAGATAGCTCTCTATTCACTTATTATTTATTTATTTTAGAAGATCTTACGCTAAGCTAAGCTGTTCGAGTTTATTTAGTGTATACAAGTAAACGCCCCGACCAGCGCTACTAGCTAGCTCTACATAATTTCATTAAATAGTCTGTCATGGCAACATCGTGTCTTCAAATATATTATATCCTTTCCAAATTGTTCTGATATACGATGTATTGTCTCGAATGAATGACATCCTTGTTATTGGTATATAGAATCGTACCGCAAAGCACTTGTCAGTTTCTGTCTGAAGTTTACAAAATAATCTCATGTTTGATCTACTTGTATTGTGTGTGTGTAAGTGCCCCGGAGGGCTTTCCAGTTTCAAAACGACAGGTGGGCGATTATGGGCTCAGCTAGAAACACTGCCCATTTTACTTTCGTATTTAATTTTTTGTAAATGTTTCCATTTTATATCGGTACACAATAAAGCATATTCTACTCTACTCTACTTTGTGATGTCTATGGGCTCCTGTAACCATTTAACACCAGATGAAATGGAAACTCATCGATGCATGCAATGCAAATAAATCTAACTTTTCCAGTGCATTGAATGATCAACGACTCAAGGGTACTTTTTGCCTGAGCAGTTTTTACGTTGCTATTTATATTTGGAGGCCATACAACGGAATACACAAGTAAAAAGGTCACTCGTTAAATGTAAACATCATGGTGTAGAACCTTGGATCTACTTTATACCTCAACATTGATTACAAAGTTTTAAACCAGTCTGAACAATACCGTAATCCTTTTCTATTATATAATATTAGTACTAACTATGTCATATTGTAAATAAAATGTAAATTTAATTTTGCTGTTCAACAACAAAATTAATATGGTATGTTTGTTTATTTATAATTCTATTATATTTATTTGCATTTAAATGTAACAAGTTTATAAATTAAGCGGATTAATCATGTACAGTGACCAGAAAAAATGCATGGATACCACAGTAAATAGTTGTACCTACAACCAACGCCATCTAACGGCTATAGTAGCTACATGGTATCTACCTTACTATCCTACTAGATGGCATCTGCTGCTTTAGAATAGCAATTAAAATCGTATTGAGAATTTATTCAATTAATCAACATCAATTTTGATAAAGATCAATGATAGATGTTATATATTATGTATTACGTTATTATAGACTATTAAAAATATCAATATTTATATCTTCCACTGTGCCAATGGTAAGTATTTTTTAAACATTATAATTGTTCAAATGAAAAATATCTTCTATAGAGAATTTTTAATAGCTGTTTAGAACGATACTGGGCTCCCAAAAAATATGCTATTCGATATATGCCGGATTACCAATGATATCTAGTTTATTATTATTAGCTACGTTTCAAGTTCATAAGATAATCGACCTTAAGTTATTTATTTATGCTGTTCTACAGCTGACGATACATTGAACCCAAATCCAATTTATTAAAGCACATTATTTCAAAATGAAAATATATATTTTAATATGATTATGTAACGAACGATACATTTAAAAAAAAACAACCTACAAAATTTAAATTTTTTTAACAAATGTCAATAACCACACATCAGGAAACCAAGATAAGGTCACTCGTAAAGCTATTTCGAATAAGAAACAGTTCCTATAATTTTATGGCTAATATTAAAATTGAGATACAAAAACGCAAATTTAACATCCGGTATTGTATAACAGACAAGCGCATATATTTTTTTATTTGTTTTTTATTGCATAGATTTCTCAACGAGCTCACAACCTACTTGCTATTAAGTGGTTACCGGAGCCCATAAATAATACAATGTAAATGGTGCCCCTCTCCTTGAGACATGAGACCGAAGTCTCAACTACACCATCAGTATAACGACTGTTTCACCCTTAAAAGTAGTGCTTACCAACGTGACCTTTCAGTACGCCCTACCACCAGTAATTATGCAAATTATAGTTAATCCCCATACCAATTATAATTATTGATCGATTTTATTCCTTGAACGTGAAAATCATTCGTAACAATGTAGGTACGTTTTTACTCAGAAAGATTAATTAATAGCAGTCTGCGGAATTTGAATACTGGCACAGTAACATGGCTTGATAAGAGTACACTAGTTTTATCCTTCAAGCCTTAACGAGAAGCTTACAGAACCGTTACATTACTTTTGCACAGCCCCACAACTTGCAATACATATTTTCTTCTAAATCGAGCATTATAAAGTGACAAAGAAGCTTTTCATGAACATTATGCCTTCTACATAAATCGACGCGAAATCCTATCTCTCCAAACGTCATTTATATTGAAGCCCGGGGGTGTGTAGCATATTTGCGACGTAATAATACGCCAAAGCAACGTGGGCGAGGTTACAAAAATAGAAGACCGGGTGAGGTATAATACAATGTAGTTATGAATTTAATATACCTACATAAATGTACGTTTTTCTTTGCTTTTTACGTAATTAATAGGCTCAATTTAGCGTTTACATGGAATAATATGGATATATCATTTCTTCGTAACATGATTCTGTAGATAAAAAGTTCTTTAAAAAGACATACAAAAATTTCGGGGGTTCGCGTAAATCTTACCTGCGCTGGAGGAAAGTTTTCAACGAATGCTGGTTCCACATCAATGGCAGTGGATGTCCCCGCGAGTCGGGCACGGGTAAGGTTCCAAAGGCGTTGGAGGGCCAAAGGAGTCTCTTCACGTTGCATTTCCATGGCTGAGTTAGCGAGCATCTTCCCTTAGAAAGCTAAGGACAATTACAGAAGAACTGATTACTAATTACACAAGTGAACGTAATAATATTATATTTATTAATTAAAACGATTTCATTAAAACAAGCCTCAATGATCAAATTCACTCACAATGTTAGTCATAGAGGTTTTTTGAAACGTTAGCATGTCTAAAATCTGTTATTATTTATAAAATAAAAGCTGGATTGAACTATAAAAATCTTCTAGTTAAAATTGCTAAGAATCCTGGAATAATGAAAACAACTAGCGGAGTTTTTTGTTCCTCAATATTTAGAATACCAGTTTAAAAAGTAATTCAATAAGGAAGAATTTAAATTAAATTAACAACGAGACTGAAATTACCGATAACACGTACTGTTTGGCAATAAAATTTATCTAGAATTTCAAATGTAAACTCTAAAACTCAATTAGAATTTACAATACTAAACTTGCAACCGATGTTAGAGTTGTTTAGTTTAAGCTTCTGGGAACTCATTTTTGATAGTATTTACATTGTGAATGTGAAAGTTTGGATGTTTGTTCTCAATCACCCAAAAATGACTTAACCGATTTGAATGGTATTTCACACACAAATAGATTTTAGTCTCAATTAACAAATAGGATATTTTTATCATGTCTGTCTGTCCATAAAGCAGGCAATCTCGGGTTTATTTGTTAAAATAAATACGACAAATCGATTCGTAAATTATTAACAAAAGAGCAATACAATAAATTATCTATCTCGTTAATTCTGAATATGAAGCTTCTTTGATTCAAAGCCAATGTTTGATTACACATAAAATCGTTGAATCATAAATGTATATGAATATATTTCTGGTTAAGATTGATATCTCTGTGTAAAAATATTTGATATCCGGGTGACGGCCTCTGAGTTGATTGTAGCTTAGCGTAGTTGGTTTTTTTTTTGTCATCTCAATACAAAGACATGAATTGATACTCAATGAATGACAAAGCTTAAGGTCTATAATAGACCATATTGGACCATATTCACTGATATCTTTAAATTTCCTTCATTTGATGTATTATTTCCTCTTATTTTGTTGTAATTTTTCCTGATAAGGTTGGAGAAAAACTTTAATATATTTAAACACTATGTCCCGTCAGTACCTACTAATAAAGAAAAATTGATTGAAAGATAGAAGAGAAAAAGTGAGAGAAAAAGTAAGAAGAGAAAACTCTTTTCTTCATAAAAAAAGCGTAATCTATCTAAGGGGAGTTCCCATTGCTAGTTTCTTGTTATTATTTAACAATAATTAATAAAATCTACTATACCTATGCACTTTAAGGAGATAGAACTGAATTATTACAAAGATCAGAAACTAGGCACTTTAGAAGACTTATTGCGTTAAATAACGAATAACTAAAGAGCTATGGAAACTAACATAGGGCCTACTAATAAGTAAATTGAATTTTAAAATTATTGAATATCATCACACGATATGTCATAACCAATTCTTTTGTAACGTTCATGTTCGAATCGACATCGGAACATGCACTTGCAGCAACTTGGCTGTGTCGACACAATTGACTTTATGCGTATGAAACATGATTATTATTCGTTTTTAATGCGATGAATACATTATTACAGAAAAATTGAACTCTTGTAGCGTTCATTGTTTTCTACATGACGCTCTTAACAACAATATCGAGGGCCGACATACATAAATATAAAATCGGCAAGAGAACACCTTTGAATATTTCGTGTTAATTCAGCCAAAAATCCTTGAAGATAAATTAGAATAATAATAGCATTTACTACTCGTTTAACTAAAACAGAACACGTTTTGGCGTAAATAATTAAAAATCGGAAACGTGCCTACTTAAAGAAATACTAGATGATCACCGAGCATTGCTCGTTTTTTTTTTTTTTGAAAAAAACGCCATCTTGTTGTGTCTTTAAAGCGGTTAGTTGCCCTCAATTAATATTATTACTATTATTATTCGCCAATAGATGTCGGGAAGAGTTGATTATTGAAAACAGGAATAAAACAACATTTTCTGAAAAAAAATCGTAGCTAGATCGATTTATCGCCCCCGAAATCCTCTGTGTAGGTACTAAATTTTATGAAAATCGTTGGAGCCGTTTCCGAGATTCAGATTATATATATATTAATATACAAGAATTTATCGTTTAAAGGTATAAGATTTGTATGTAAGACATAAATACTTGCGTACAAAATAAAAGTCTCTCAAATTCGTGACGTCACTTAAGAGATACGACTATTTGCACAACTGAAAAGTTTATGAGTTTGGAGGACAATCAGTGACGAATTACATACAGAGTAGACTGTGGAAATTTCCATTCAATGAAAGGAGTTTCCTTATATGTAATACAATATAATGAAAGCTATAGATCATTACAAAAGGTAATGGTTTCCGAGAATAAATAGCATTGTCCACAATTCCAATGTAACGTTATACAGGTAAAGGGACATCGAAGGTAAATTATAGCAGGTAGGTAGACGAGGATAAATTAAAAAAAAAACTCGTTATGAAGCAGTTCTTTCCTTCCGCGTGTTATATTTAACAGAAGTTCTATAAAATTATAAAGTCGTATAGTACGCAAGCAAATTTAAATCTTGTTCAAATTTTACTGGTTTTTACTGTAACAGTCGGATAAAAACCTTGATTAAAACAGCTGCTATAAAATGTTGCGAAAGTTTCGATTTACTCTGTCAATGAGACGGCTCTTTACTTTGTTGATGTTTTCGTGCGCTTGCAAACAAAAAATCAGACCAGAATAGAAAGTAATTTGTTTAGGTTGATTTAGATAAGCCGAAACGCCACGAGTCGAGAGAGAAAGCGCTCGGAAATGCAGGTAGGAGTCGGCCATTTGCTGCTGCGTGCCCCCACTGTCCCCACTATACCGTTACTACACATAGAAATAGAATATTCTAGAACTTACTTCCACAGCTACCAGAGAAATTAAAATCTAATGCATTAGTCGATGTATGTTCTTATTATACCGCTAACTCACCTTAGTATGATAAAATTTTAAAACGGCTCCGGTTTGTACGGATCTCCCGAACAGTGGACTCCACGAATCTACAATACAATAAAATCACAGAGTAAGTGAACTCGTCGCAAGTCGCAAGGCTAGTGAACCGTACAGCAGCGCAGCTTGAATACCACTGAGGGTGGACTCGCTCGATGAAGGTATTTAAAACTTCAGTCAGACGCTCCCCAGTCGCAATCGTTCTCTGAGGAAGAGGATGACGATATGAAGTCGAAGCGAGATAGGTAGACTAGCACGCGGTCGCCGCGTGGTCCGCTAGACGGTTACTCACACATCGACAGACGGTTACGCATGCGCTATCGATACACGGAATACGTCGAGGTCGACGTCACTGGCCCCATTTCAGAATCAAAGTGCACATATGGCTGTGATGAGGGCGTGCACCAGATACACCTCCATGACTAGGATAAACCTAAAAAAAGAATCCTCTTCAACCTCTTATAATCTTTAAGCTCGATCGTGAAAAGCCAGAAATGAAAATGAAATTTACTACAACATTAGAGCACTTTTTATTTATTTCATTGTTGCAGAACTTGCTTAAAGGTTATAGAGTAAGGAAACTAGTAGCTTAAGTTTAGTCCTACCATTAATTTGAAGATACTGGCGAACTTGTGACTGCGGTATCAGCTGCAGATATTACTTTCCCATTATTCTTCCAAAGTTCCTTATTTCATAATTAAATATCCCCATAATTATTTTCTTGATTACTAATTGTAGCACATTTTGAGGGACAGCTCTCGTTGGCACCATCTTCTTGCCTATTTCGATCTTTACTATTGCCTTAATAGACAAACTAGTGTATCTATCTGATGGTGAATGGTCACCGATGCTCATGACATTAACAAAACCAGGGCAATAGCAGGCCGCTATCTACTGCTTGAATACTGTCATCTACCATTCGATATTATGCGGTAGCCTTTTAATATCGAACCGGAAATTCGATTGCTTATCTGAATTCCGCCAAACCAAAAAAGTAGTACCTTTTGCTGTTTTGACGCAGTTATACCGTAAATTTCGCATTACAACAACGCAGTAAAATAGTTTGGACTTAGTTTGTAAACAACTATTTGAAAGTAGATCACGCTATTTATAAAAAGGCCACGTCTGTACATTATTAATAAGAGTTTCTATTACAAATCAATAAATGTCGTTGACAAGAACCATATCGGAAATAGCTCTCAAGGGCGCGAAAACACAGATCACAAATGACCCGTATTTTCATTTCAACTCAAATTATAGCCGGTTTATGGCTTTATGGGTTATGGCTTTAACTTATCCAACACAAACTTTTATTTAATTTGAAATAGCTCAAACCGCAATATGGATCGGTTAACAAAAAAGCTTTCTCATGAATATGAAATAAATAAAATAAAACTATCAGACATTAATCAGATACCAAATCATGGCAACCCAGAAACACTACTCACAATCTCTTCACTATGATCGTTATCGCTAAAACAAAGAGAAGATAGTACATTCGTGATTAAAACCGTTTATTCGGTAGCAAACTTTCCATTCAAAAAGAATTTTAAGATCCGAGTAAATATTTGATAAGTCTAGAATAATGTTGTAGAATCACCACAGATCACCTATTTACGTCAGATACATAATTCTTAGCACAGAATCAGCGGAAGGTGATTTTAATTCGAGGCTGAGGACCTAAATGTTAAAATCAAGGGAATTAAGTACCTTTAATATAGAAATATTCTAATTTTAACTTTTTATTAGTTTTTTATTAGTCATCATGGCATAATGGACGATCGTGGCCTAATGGACAGAGTTCAAGTCTCGCAAGAATGTACCAATTTTCCTAAAAATATGAGTCCTACGTGTTCACGAGTAATTTCTACAATGAAGGACTGGCATTCTGGAATAATAATAAAAATCGCTCTAATTATAGTTAACGTAATTACTGGTGATGAGGCTTAATGTGAGCCCGCACTGGTAGCTATCACCACCCTACCCATAGATAATACACATAGGTAAATGACCCTACCTATTTATATTGCGAGTAGTCAGGCGTTCCGATTGAAGAGTGAGACAGTCGGATGGCCGTTAAAATATAGGTATAACTGAGAATTCGCTCCATCTGGTGGAAAATGGAAGCGAGCTTGCTTGAGCTGTTTGACCACCTCTAAGGGCGCTTGGGCAGTTGCTAAAAAACCTTCTCCCCCTGGTTGAGACCCTAAGTTCGCTTATTCGTGCGATTTAAGCGGCATCAGTGCGATCCTTCCATCCCAAAAAAAACTTCGAACTCATCTCCCAAAGTGGGAGACAGCTCTTACATTGTAATGCCTGAGGCTACGGTAACCTCTTACTATCAGGTCTGTCGTAAACTTCAGACATCTGAACAATATTTTTATAAGGATTAATAATCGATTTCTTATTATAAACAATAGGAAAGTTAGTCTGTAGTGAAGTATTTTTTCACCTTTTTTAATTATAAATGATCGCAGATTACCTAAGTTAAGATAATATTCATTAATTGAAGCCGAAATACTATTGTTTCATAAACTTTTCTCAATATTCGGATTGTATTACCTGTTACATTACGAGTCATAAGCTGACACCGTTTTACTGTTCGAAGAAGCCAAGTGTTATGTCAACATGTCTCATAAACAAAGAGGTCTCGTTTCAATTCTTAAATGTAATCATTGGCAGTATCGAATAGATATATTGCATGTATTATATGTAGCATTTAGCAAAACAATAAAATAATTCAGTCTGAATCAAACAGTTTATTTAAAAAAAATTTCATTTTTCATTAAACAGAGTTAAAGTGAAATGTTAAAAAGAGTTCAATTGTAATATTGTCTGGGTTCGACATAATATTTTATTACTACACATTCACTTATACATCATAGTATCAAAATGATTTATCTTTATTTGTTCAGAATACAATCTCTTACGTTAAAATCGTACACAAAAATTTGTAATATATGTAATAATATAAAAATATTGTAAATCTCTTAAAGCTATTTTACTAAGTTTTTTTCATAGTTAAATGAACGAGCTGATGGCTCGGCTGATGTTAAGTGATTACTGGAGATCACAGAGTGAATTACATTACCCTCTGATACACAATGCAGAAGTCTGTTCAACATTTTGTGAAGGCTGCCTCGTTCCCTTGCAAATCGGAAGGCAAAATGCTTCGTGGTAGAAATGGACAAGATAGTTGTACCTGCCGGCTCACAATACGCTCAGCAATCAAGAAAAAAAAAATTGTGAATTTTGACGATTAAAATTAAATTTATTACACAATTTTATTCATTTATTTTGAAAGGCGTTGGTGGTAACGTGGTATACGAGTATGTGTCTTTACTTTTCAATTAAATGGGTTATGTAGATTAGTTAGATTAGTTAGGTTATGTAGTAGTTATGTGGGATAGTATAGTACTAAAACACGAAAACTCTTAGCTATTAGGCTACGGAATTTCGTCACCCACTACAGAATTTACAAATAATAGCAAGATAAGTAAAAGGACTTGGTGTTCGTAAAAAAAAACCAGAGCATCTGCACCCACGAATATATTATTGCCTTTGATTACTCTTAACGGTAAAATTCAAGCCAACCAATTTATGCCATTAATGCTGATGTTAAGTGAGAATTGCGCTTACACAAATATAGCAGCTTCTTGTCAATTACGCATTTCTGAATAAAACAAACGCCTGCGACGGAATAACTATGCGTATTGTAGATAACGAAAATGTATCATTGAATGTCACGTTTTCAGTCTTTTGAGAACATTCACGTGCCATCAAAGAGTAGGTACATATTTACAACAAGCGCTTGCTCTTGTTTCTAGAATGATTTTATTATTATTATTGAAAAGTATTAAGCCAAATAGACATACATATATTTCTTAATAATTAAATCATTTCAATATAGAGCAGTCATATACCTAAAAAATATTAAGTGGTAGGTACCTGTTGAAAAAATCACGTGTTTTTATTAACATTAGCGTTTACTGCTATGCACGCCCAAAACAATAAAATTACACGTGGATCCGTGTAAAAATAAAATTTCCAACCTTTTGCTTCGGGTATAGAGATAAAAAGGTTTTGATTTTTATCCCTTTTATCTCCAGCAATACCAGGGGCAAAACCAAGCCGCGGACTACCGCTTAGGAACCTTGTGAATCCTCATTTGAAAGGCATCAAAAAAAGGCAAAAAAAAGGAAGAAAAAAAAGAAAAAAAAAAAAAAAGGCATTACAACTGATTACGCTAAACCGTAAAATTCTGTTTTAAAGAAATCACGCACACATTGATTGATGTTTACGAATCACATCACGATATCGTGAATCACATTAACATAAAATGTCCGTGATTTTCCATTTTACTTGAAAAAAGTCTGTGAATTTTGTACTGGTTCTATAATTTGTCAGTTATTACCAGTTCACGAATGTCCTCACGAACAGAAGCAGTATGCAGCGCGAATGTGTTAACTGACTTTTAAATGGGAAACGTTCTATATGAACTTTTCCATGAGCATCATATTTATTTATCGTGACATGATGATTTGAAGTTGATTGTCAATGTTGGTTAGAAAATGTTTCATTAATAGTAAACTGAGGAGTTGGCCTTGCGTTCAGATGTCTATGGGTTGTAGTAACCACTTAATATCACGTGGGCCATTAGTTCGTAAACCAATTCAATGTATCACATGTAAAGTACGGAGATCTCACAACCTGATCAACTATGACGTGATCAGATTTGAGCCGGAGCGGATTTTGAAGGCAATTACACAGGAAGAAAGTGTAGGCTTATCAGCCGTTTAAAATCGATAAAGACTTTACTTAAAATAATCATATCCTCTCTCTTAAATTAAATAATAAATTTATGTATGTATATTTATATTTACAGTGCAAAAGGTCACTAAACTATTCTAATGTCAAAACGCCAATCAAGATGACACGGTGGAACATTTAAGTAAATTCGCAAGTAGATTACAAAAGTGTTTTTCCAGAACTAAACCAATTCTTATTTAAGTTAAAAAAAAAAGAGCGATAACCCCGCGCTCTTTGAAAAAGTTCCAAAGATTAAACATAACAGTTCATACTATATTTCCTTCAACGAATTTCTTAAACCGCTTCCAGTTTTCAAGTTTTTATTGATTTTTAAATATGT